CCAGTTAAGCTCTTTAAATTGATATGATTTCTTCCTTTTTCCTTCTTTGCCTTTGTGTGTGTATGCTGTTTGGTTTTGTTCGACAGGGTCTCGTGTATTCCAGACTGGCCTGGAACTCACTATGTAACCAAGGATAACCTTGAATTTGTAATTCTTCTGTTTCTGTCTCCAAAGTACTGGGATTACAGGTATGTGCTATCGAGCCCAGTTTAATTTCTTCTTTTAATCAAACCTTTCCCTTTTTTTTGAAACAGGGTCTCACTATCAGGCTGGCCTTGCACTCCCTTTGCCTTCCCCAGTGCTCTGGAATTAAAGGTGTACACCACCGTGCCTGACTCCAAATGTCTTCATAGCAATATTTTTTTTCTTTCTGTTTTTAAAATTGACTACCAGAATTGACATAAAATTTGTTAATTACACAAGTGTCTATTATATAAACAATTTCTACAGCTTATGTCTCTTTGCCAGTGTAACAGCAGTAAGAATGTTCTAGTCTTGTTCTTTGGCACCAGAGTCAACAATCTATTATCTATTAACATCTAAGATAAAAGGCTTACCTAAAATGTAATCTCTATCTCAGGCCTTGTATCTTTTCTGTCCTGGGGTATTGCCATCTTCCTATACTTCATGCCAGAGACCTAAGGTCATCTTTAAGATTTCATTCCTAAACCAATGTGGTACATGCCTGTAATCCCAGCACATGGGAGGTAGAAACTGGAGGACAAGGAATTCAAGACCAGCCTGCTACTGTGGGAGACATTGTCTCAAAAACAACAAAACAAAAATCTCATTCTCCACAGGGCCATTGTCCTATGGAATCTGCTTCTTTTAAGATCTTCCATCTGGCTGGGTGTGGTGGTGCACGCCTTTAGTCCCAGCTCTTGGAGGGCAGAGCCAGGTGGATGTCTGTGAGTTCGAGGCCAGCCTGGACTACATAGTGCGTTCCAGGCCATCTGGGGCTACAGGGAGACTCTGTCTCAAAAAGACACACACATGCAGACACACACACACACACACACACACACACACACTCAAAAAGCAAACAAGTAAGCAAGAGAAGGGTAGGGAGGTTGGGGTGCACCTGAAAGGAGATGGGGGGGAGGGGGAGATATGATCAAAGTACATTGTATGAAATTCTCAAAGAATCAATAGATTATTTAAAAAAAAAAAAAAGATGATCATGATATATTGGCCCAAGGATATATTTGTTGAATATTTTTTCTTCTTTTTTAACATTGTGTCTTTTTTTCTTCTTGTACATTAAACCATGAATTCATAGAGAACGGGCTCCAGCAGCTCGGGTTCTTTCCATTAGTTCTCACAAGTGTTTCTCTGAGTGGGGCAGGCTAGCGCTTCAGTTGAACCCAGATTCCTTTCTCTTTGGCTTCCTTTTTCTCTGGTCATTTTCCTTCAGCCATTTCAGAAAGCTGTCTCAGCTCTTAGGGTACTTAATGTGCTCAATCCGCACACTAATTCTCTTGGCAAGAATGTTGCCCTTAACTTGCTTGGTTACAACAATGCCAAACAGCCTGCTGAGTGGCACTTAGACTCTTCCAGTTTTGCCATTGTCAATGCTGGACTCCAGCAGCACTTCAAGGGAATAAGAGATAGTTTATTCTGGAACCAATATGAGTGACCATGGTCCAGGAACACATTCAGGTTGCCCCAAATTCCATGTTCCAGCATGCTAACAGTTACATTACGTTTTTGTAGTAACAGAACAAAGAAAAGTCATATATCAAGATACTTTCAAATACATTGGTGGATACATTCAGTAGGTAGGTGATAGCAAAGTGTGGGGGGGGAGTCTATAGGTCTCAGATGCTATCTGATGACATGCTTAGCTTTTTGATTGGTGAGACCTAGTGGTCTGCTAAATTAATAGTTTTATTAGTCACAAAAATGTTAATTCAGAAACAGTGGTAAGCAAGATGTGGCTGTTTATGGGGTTAAAGATGTCCCCAGATGATTTGTGAATAGGCTCTGGATCAGTTAATCAGTTGGTCAGCCCTGTAAGAAATTCAGCTGGAGTTCTTTCTGGGCACTTTCTTTCACACCATGGTAACATTTATGGGGCATTCCTTTTTGAACAGTACCCATTCCCTTAGTGTCTATAATATCACCTTTGTAGATTCGCATATATGTGGCCAAAGGGACAACTCCCTGTTTTCTAAAAGATCTAGAGAACTTATAGTGGGTGCCTCTCTTTTCCTTGTGTTTGTCATATTGGTGAGTTTCCAGAAGATGGCTTATCTTTTCCTTTTCTTTTCTCTTTTTCACTTTTCTTCACATATCAGAGCTTAGCATTCCTGATGAGCAATCATGTCCCCTCTCCATCTCTTTCTTTCTTTCTTTCTCTCTCTCTTTCTCTTTTTGATACAGGGCCTCATATAGCACAAGCTGACTTTGATCTTTGAACTTGCTATGCAGTCAAAGCTGGCCTTGAACTCCTGATCCAAGTGTGCACCACTAAGACCAGCCCTCTTTTATTTCTTTCTAGAAATGTACATGTAACTTCTCAGATAACTGAGTATTTATAGGAAATCAAGGCTTGACTTTTCATAAAAGATACAAATGAAGTTGTGCTTCTGTTCCTTACCATTTAAAATGTTAATTAGCGATAATATAACAGCTAATATTTGCTTCCCATCAGGAATTATTCCGTGTTCTATGTATGGTACACTCACTCTTTCCTACAGAATGCATAGTTTTATGATAAAAAGAGTAAATTAGACTGCCAGTCAAAAATTTAGTGTTCTTCAAACATTCTTGCATCTAGTCTATCATTGATTATATAACTGTTTTCTCTTTCCTTCAAACTGGTTGTGTTCCCAAAACAGAAAAATTAATGAGTTGACCAGTATCAAGATATTGTATGATGTAAAAATAGGGATTAATATAGTGCATTGTCCAAGTGCTGCTGAGCTGCAAAGGGTTCAAAAAGTAGCAAGCAGGTTAGAGAAATGGCTCAGTGGTTAAGAGCACTTGCTACTCTTCCAGAGGACCTGGGTTTGGTTTCCAGCACTCGAACGGTGGTTAGCAGCCATCTATAACTCCAGTTACAAGGGATATGATGTCCTCTTCTGGCCTCCACAAGCATTGTATGACATGATTGCACTCACATACGTGCACACCAAGTATTGCATTTACGGGTATACTTACATGGAGACAAAACATATAAATCAAAAAGCATTTTTTAAAGCAGCAGCAGTAGCAGCTGTGACGGGATATGTGGCCCCCCAATCTAAAATTCACCAAGTGGTGTTGCAGTATATGTCTTTAACCCCAGAATTTGGTGAGCAGAGGCAGACAGGTCTCCGTGAGTTTGAAGCCAGCCAGAACTGCATAGTGAGACACCTAAAAAACCTAAAAATATGTTGTCTGGCCCTTTAGAAAAAGAGTTAGCTAAAAAGCAGGGCCAGCATTTACAATCCTATCACCTGGGAGGCGGAAACAGGGGGATCGGGGCCAGCCTTACCTACAGAGGGGATTCAAAGCCAGTTTAGGCTACATGAAACCCAGGCTGGTCTTGAACTCATGGTAGTCCCCCTCCTGCCTCAACTTGTGTTGAAATTATAAATGTGTGCCACCACATCTAACTTGCTTGTGTTTTTTATGTGATATAATACACAACTAGTTTGAACAAAAGGGATTAGCATTCCAGATGAAATGCTTAAGTAACATTCTTGATAAATCATAATGGGATTAAGATGTGTTCTGAGAAACCAGTCTACCACCCACCCATTTGACTGCCAGTCAAGAATTTAATGTTCTTTAAACATTCTTACATCCAGTCTATCATTGATTATATAATCATTTTCTCTATCAAATGTTAGAGCTGGGGATGTAGCTCAGGCTCTGCACCTACCTAGTAGCATGGAGAAGGCCCCGGTTTGATTCCAGCACTGAAAAGTAGCAAAACAAAACCCCAAGACTCAAATTCCCCTTCAAAGGACTCTTCTGGTCCCTTTGAATTTTAAAGTAGTCCACAAAGCAGAGAAGTACATGAATGAGGGACAGCCCAAGCTGGGATTCAGGCCATGCCCCTGAGATCTGAGGACAACAGGGGACTGGCTCCACAGGAAGGAAAGATCTCGAAATGTTGTCTACCTGGGCCCTGTTCAGACGATTGAGACTTCAGTTAACTACCACTTTGCCCTCAGCAATTTTGGAAGTAGCAAAACTTACTGTGGAGAGATGTTGACCACTGGAACATGGAAAAATATTTTTGAGATAAATTTTTGACAGATAACTGGTTATAATAAAGGCTGCAAGGATGTTGATGATTAAAGAAATGGAGAGATAGTATAGTGAGGTTGTGATTTAAAAGGTCTGACTGCCCCATGGTGTGTACTGGTTTGTCCTCTCCCCTGGGTGTCTGTTTTATATAAGCTGTTCAAAGGCTGAGCATGAGAGCTTTCCACTGCCCTGTAGGTAAGGGAGGGGTGGCACATGCCCTTGGGTATTCCCACCTCTCTGATGTCTTCTTGTCTGATAAATTTCTCATCCCATCTTGCCCTATTCTAAGCATGTCGGCAGAAATTCCACACTTGTGGTAGGCCTGTCGCGCTCTTGCTTGGTTTCCAGTACAGATACAGCACAGTAGCAGCTGTACTTTTTTTTGAGGTAGGGTATCATTATTGCTGCCCAAACTGGCTGTTAGCGAATGGACTTCAGCAACCCTCGTGTCTCAGCCTCCTGAGTAACTGAAGCTGCAGGTGCATGCCACCCCATCCAGCTTAATTTTATCTTTCTTTTGGCCTTGTCAGTGAGAATTGGGCAAGCCCTGTTTTAGGGTACAGAGGTAATGCCACTTGTGTTCATTCACCCATCCCACTCCCCAGCCTTCCTTGCAGCCTCCTTTGTTTTCAGTAAAAGTTTTCTGCAGCAAAAGTGGCACAGCTCAGACGTTTATTTTATCCAAACTAAAGTTGTAGAAGTTTTTTCTGTATGCTTTGCCTTTCCCTGATCGTCTGATTTGCATCTACTTATTATTCCAGGTTGGCAACAGAGATGATTCCAATCCTTATATAAATGTGAAGCTGAAGGCTGCTGAAGAGGTAAAGCCCAGAACAGGGGTACTGTTACCATCTCCCACAATGCCCTAGGTTTTGTGGGTAACCCCTTACCCCCTGTGTCCCTCCCCACAAAACTTTTCCTGGTACCAGCAGACCCTCTGATAAGGAAAAATTGTATTCTTGTAACTAACTGTATTCTTATGTCTTCATAAGCTTAGGCCATTTGAAGCTTCCTCTTCTCTTGTTCTGGTTACTGGGTAGATATCTTGAAAATGCAACCCTGTAATGTTTTATAACTCAGTGATGTTTTATTTCTCTGTAATATTTTAAAGCTCTGTGATGCCTTTCGCTTGCCATGTCTAACTACTGATACAGATGTGAGACTAAGAAAATGGAAAATTTGCCACATGGTTTAATGAGGCACCTGGTCCAATTATTCTAAGAAAAGAATAGATCAAATATGTCAGATATCTAAACTTTGCCAGTGATACCTGTTTTTGTAAACTGCAATGACTAACCGATTCCTAGCCTAGTTAGCCTGACCTAGCTACAGATCAAAAGGCAGCAGATGTCCTGACCCATGCCTACTTTATAAGTTATGGTTGTCAAGTGAGCTCAGGAAGGAATTTTCTTGAGATCATGTGGCACATCAAAGTAAGGAGGCAGCCGGGCGTGGTGGCGTACACCTTTAATCCCAGCACTTGGGATGCAGAGGCAGGCGGATCCGAGTTCAAGGCCAGCCTGTTCTACATAGTGAGTTCCAGGCCAGCTGGAGCTACAGGGAGACCCTGTCTCAAAAAGACCGAAAAGAAAAAAAAAAACAACAAAAAAAACGAAGAAGCCATAGGGCCCAGGTGCCAGCCATAAAATGTTGACATAAAAAGATCTAGCTAAGCCCTATCTGTACTTCTGTTCGAGGCCCAGAAAATCTTGACACCCTTGTTTCTAATTCTGGGACCTCGTGTATGAGAAAGAATAAATGAACTTTCCAATTCTCTCCTGGGTTAATGCTTGCTCTCCTAGCTGTTCGAAGAATTTTCTCTACCACCTCATTTATATGTTTGGCAGGTCAGAATTGGGTGACCCGTCATGACTAACTCACCCCTACATGTTTGCTCATTGATAGTTTTCTATCCAGAGAGCAAGGGTAGTAGACATGGAATTGCCTTGAGTGCAGTGGGGACAGGTGAATGCAGTGATTGGAGAGGCGGACTGATTCTTGTGAGCACACAGGGTGAAATGACACCTGACACCCCTTTGTCTTAGTGATCTCCTTCAAAGAAACAGGCCCATGTCTCAGGGTCTCTTGTCATTCACCTGTTTCTTATGTTCATTTCTGCAGATTGGGATCAAAGCCACTCACATTAAATTACCAAGATCATGCACAGAGTCTGAGGTGAGCGTTTATGAATGGATTGTGGAGGGGGTGGCTTGAGGGCCTTCCTGTCTGCTTTGTGCATTAGTGGAGCTTTAGGGGTTGAGATACATGTTGCAGGTAATTCAAGGCCAGAAGGTCCTCAGATATACCACAGTGCAGGTGGTGGTGTCATTAGGTGTGGACATTTGGTTCTCAAAGACTGCTTATAGGTGCTCTTCCCTCCATATCACTTTTTTTTTTTTTTTTTGCCTGTTCTAGGGATTGAACCCAGGACCTCTCATGTTAGGCAAGTGCTCTACCAATGAGCTGCAACCCCTGCCCTTTTATTATTTTGAGACAAGATTTCACCAAATTGCCCTTGCTGGCCTTGAACCCATTTGATAGCCCAGGCAGTCCCCACCTCCTGAGTAGCTGGGATTACAGGCCTGCATCACCAGACCAGCTGAGATCCCTTGGTTAAAACTGATTTTTAAGCCAGGCATAATGGTGCATGCCTTTAATCCCAGCACTTGAGAGGCAGAGGCAGGCAGATCTGGAACTCTGTGAGTTCCAGGCCAGCTGGGGCTACAGGGAGACCAAAAAGAAGGAGCAAAAACCAAAAACTGATTTTTAATCTGTAGTTAACTTCAGTTTAAAAACCAGACGTGTATTCTGTTTATGTTATGTGATGCTTGAGGGTTGGCAGAAGCTCAGTGATGGAACCCTTAATATGAGTCCCTATCTCCAAGCCATAGTACAGAGGGGCCAAAAAGAAAAACAAAAGACAGAACAAATCAGTGGGGATTAAGGTCAGGATTACGGTTGCTTGTAGGTAGGGAGATTAGCTATAGTGGGACAGGAAGGAATAGGAACTTTCTAGGTTAGAAGTATTCTGTGTCCCATACAGAGGCCCCTGGACCCATGAGGCTACTTATATTTAGAAGGAAATAGATAAAAAAAGAATTCAGTTTCTTTGTTGCACTGGGCATGTTTCAAGTAGTCAGTGATTGGCATTCTGTTGCAAGGTACAAATGGCAGAACATGTGATTATATTATGGGAGTTCAAGATCACTGGTAAAAGACTGCTCAGATTCAAAAAGTTCTGAATCAGCCATTTTATTTAGCTTTCCAGTGACTGCACTCCTTGAGTCAATTTAGAGAATATAGCACTTGCTCAGAGGAAAGTAAAGGTGAAGTTTATACCCTGACTGGTTAGTACAAGATTAACTCAAAAACAAGCCATCACATGTTCTTGTAGGTGGGCAAGCAAGCAGTTACAGAAGCCAGATAAGCAAGTAGTCACAAAAGCAGATAAGTCTCAGTTGGAGCCTCCCAGGATTATGTGGGTGTGTTCTTCTGGGGTCAGCTCTTCTGGAACTGCTGGGCCAGGGTAGGTTCTGGGATGGCTCACCAAGATGGTGGTTCTTACACAAAATGGAGGAGCTTAGGCTATCACATTATGAGAAAGGGTTACAGGACATTGCTATTCATCAGATTTGCTTTTTCCTTCCTTTTTATTTTTATTCTTTCCTTTTAAATTTTTCTTTGGAATTTTTATTTTTTATTTTATGTGTATGAATGTATTGCCTGTGTACATGTAAATGCACTATGTGCATACAGTGCCCATGAAGGCCAGAAGAGGGCGGTGGATCTCCTGGCTGGAGCTATAAATGGTTGTTAGCCGCCATGTGGGTGCAGGGAATCTGAATCCATGTCCTCTGCAAGAGCAACCAGTACTCTTAGCCGCTGAGCCATCTCTCCAGCCCTGCCTTCCTTTTTTAAAAAATTTTACTTTTGTTGTGGCACAAAGAAAAAGAGAAAGTTCCAGAAAACACCTCAGGGGATTAGAATGGACATTTCTTGGGGGAGGGGCATGCTCTAAGATTACTTTAGGCAGGCCAATCTCTGTTAGTTCCAGGCCAGCCTGGTCTACATACATAGTGAGTTCCAGGCCAGCTGGGGCTACAGGAAGACCCTGACTCAAAAAGACACAAAAAATTTACCTTTATTTCCAAGTTTTGTTCGTGAACTCATACAAGATATTCCAGATACATGTGTTTTTAATCCTTACCTCCCTCATCCTCTTCATCCTGATTGACTTGGAAGGAATATAATCCATCCCTCTTGTACGCTGTCGACACTGCATATAGCCAGTCATGCAGATTTTTGTCTTCACATACTTTTTGTGAGAGGTTTCAAGTACCTTTTGGGAAGGAAGGTACAGCTCCTGCAGTTGCTCCTCGGTGGTTGTTGTCCCCACTGAGACGGCCAGCTTTCCCATTTACTCTAGTTCTCTGGGGGAAACTGCTTGACATGGGCAGCATCCACAATTCCATCTTCTACAGTGGGGCTTCCTAAATATTGTCTACTTGTTATGCCTTTTCACCTGAGAAATTTTCACACAGCCCTGGAATTAAAGGAATATAAAATCAGTGCATAAAACATTTATTGATTTAAAAAAAAATCAAAGAAACTTATTTTAAAACAATTCTTTGGTATACATACAGTTTTACCATTTATTAAAGGCAAGCAAATTTTCATGTTGATGAGATAGATGTGCCTGTTTATTTTTATTTATTTATTTATTTATTTTTGGTCTTTTTTTTTTTTTTTTTTTTTTTTTTTTAGAACGGGTCTCCCTGCAGCCGAGCTGTACTAAAACCCACTATGTAGACCAGGCAGGCCTTGAACTCAGAGATTCACCTGCCTCTGCCTCCCAAGTGCTAGGACTACAGGCATGCACCACCATGCCTGGCTTTATTTTTGGTCTTTTTTAAGACAGGGTTTCCCTGTAGCTTCAGCTGCCCTGGAACTCACTCTGTAGACCAGGCTGGCTTCAAACTCACGGAGATCTGCCTGCCTCTGCCTCCCTAGTGCTAGGACTAAAGGCATGTATTACCATACCTGGTGTGTCTGTTTATTTTTATGTAAAGAATTCAATCTTGGCTGGATAGTTGATACTATAATCATAGAGCATCTTCAACATTTTCAGTTGGTTGTTTAAAAAACTTTTAAGGGGTTGGAGCAAAGGCTCAGCAGTTAAGAGCACTGACTGTTCTTGTAAAGGACCCCAGTTCAGATTCTCAGCACCCACATAGCAGCTAACAACCATCTGTAACTTCAGCCAGGGGATCCATTGCTTTCTTCTGGCCTCCATGGGCATTGTGTGCACATGGTATACTTACATGCATGCAGGCAAGACACTCATACACATAAAATAAAAATAATAAAATATTTAAATTTTTAAAAAACATACCTATTTGCCCTGTTTTCATTAATATTTTTAGACAGGTCTCATTTTTCAGCCCAGGCTGACCTCAAATCTGTAATCTTCCTGCCTTAGCCTCCTGAATATGAGGATTGCAAGTGTGTACCACCACACACTGCTAAATAGAACCTGTTTCTGTTTTTTTCTCCCTTTCACCACAGCTCTTTCATAGGTGCCGTGGTGGCAACAGAGACCAAAAGGGTTGTTCTGTTTCTTGATTTGGAGTTTGTAACATGGGCTTGTTAAAGTAATAAATTATTGCTTGCTGTTACAATAATAAGCAATTGATTCTCTTAGCTCTTTTTTGGATAGAATCTTAGCAAACACCTGTTAGATTATGTTAGTCACTTTTCTATTCTTGTGACAAGATGTCAAACTAAAGCGATCAGCTTGTAAGAAGGAAATCAATTACTTTTTTTATATTTATTATTTTTATTTTATGTGTATGAGGGTATTATCTGCATGCATGTAAATGCACCTGTGTTGTATATTGCCTGTGGTCAGAAGAGGGTATTGGATCCCTTGGAATTATGGACACAGTCGTTAGCTGTCATGTGGGTGCTTAAAATCAAACCTGGGTCTTCTACAAGAGTATCCAATGCTCTTAACCATTGATCCATCTCTCTAGCCCCAGGAAATCAAATTATAAGGAAGACAGATTCATTTGGGTTCACAATTTCAGAAGTTTCGATCCATAGTTGCTTACTTGGCTCTTTCCCTTTGAACCTGTGACAGCACAAGAATGTGTGATGGAGGAGGTCTGCTCAGGCTTATGGTAGCTACAAAGGAGAGGCAGAGGGAGAGCGAGGGTGACGGTGAGAAAGAGACTGGTATCCCAGTACCTGCTTCTAAGATGCTCTCCCGGTGACCCAGCTTCCTTCCACAAGGCCCTACCTCCCTAAGGTTCCCCACCTTCCCAATACTGCCACAGGCTAGGTACTAAGCCTTCAACATGTAAGCTTTGGGGGACATCGCAGGTCCAAATTATGGTAAGACTTTGTCAAAATAGAGCTGCACTCAGGATTCAAGGAAGGAGGTACATTGAAAAGGTGACAGTTAACCTCTTAGGGGAAATGGAACAACTTGGGTTGTGCCTTAGAAAAGAGTTTCTCCCCCTTTGAGTGTCTCTGATGTACAAATTATATGTGGCATTACTTTTAGGTGTTAAAGTATGTCACCTCCTTGAATGAAGACTCCTCTGTCCACGGATTCATAGTGCAGCTACCTTTAGATTCAGAGAATCCGATTAATACTGAGGCAGTCATCAATGCTATTGCTCCTGAAAAGGATGTGGATGGGTGAGTTACATGATAGGGTTGCTGGATTTTATTTAGATTTTGGAAACATACCATCTTTGTTTCTAAAGAATAGAGACTTAACTGCTTTTATTTCCTCTTTGCTTTGATTTCTTGCATTGTTTTAGATTGACTAGTGTCAGCGCTGGAAAACTTGCCAGAGGTGATCTCAATGACTGCTTCATTCCTTGTACACCTAAAGGATGCTTGGAACTCATCAAAAAGACAGGTAAAAATGAGCAAACCAAGCAATAGGAAGGCACTGTTTTTTAGAGACTGTCTTGGTGTGTGGAGATAACAGAGGAAGTAAACAGTGAGCCATAAGGAAATGGACTTGATTGGCAAAAATGCCCATCTACTAGACACTTTACCTAAGTTCTCAGTTTTCTCCTCAGCCCTATGGAGAACAAGTGCTGTTCTTCAACAACAGGCTCAAAGCCAGTGGAGCTGTAGAAGCACCTGTAATCCCAGTCCTTGGAGGCAGAGGCAGGAAGATCATGAGTTTGAGGCCATCCTGGGCTATATAATGAGAATCTGTCTCAAAGCCAAGGCCTAGGGTTCAGTCCTCAGCACTAAGAAACAAAAATAAACAGGCTCAGAGATAAGGGTTTTGTCCAGTAGACAACAGAACCAAGATTTGAACTCAGGATTATGTGAGTGCAAAACAATTTATTTTTGTGAAAAAAAGAAAGTCCTACGTGGCAGTAAGGATTCAGAGACTATGAAGTGAATGAAGTGGAAAGTCCCTGTCCCTGGAACTAGCACCAAGTCCCCACCATGGTTCCAACACTAGACAGATGGCTGGAATGGATATTGTGAACAGTCGCCCCATGTTATTTCATTGCATAGCTTGTACCTCAGTATTTTAGTTTTGTTATGAATACTTTTAGCAGAGTTTATTTTTTGCAAGGAAATGGGTTCTGTCTGAAAGAAGTAGGTCAGAAGTTTCAAGTGGGAAGTTAGGCCAGCCTTGTAATGAAAGTTGTATCTGTGGTTGGCTAGTTAAGGTCAACCATAAGTCTTGGCACTGCTATGACAGTCAGTCCTACAATTTAAAGTCTTTAGCATGTTTAACCAACAATCTATTCCAAGTTGATAAAAGCAAATCCCATGAATGACTAAGAAGCTACTGGCTTCTTAATTCCTTGTACTAGTGAAACTCTTGTTGCCTTAAGGTAGCCAGAAAGTCTCTACCGAATCCTAAATGATACAGTAAGGTGTGGCTGATTCATTGATTCATTGATCAGTCTGCAGTGCTGGGAATATAACCAGGGACTCCAACCTACTAGTCAATTGTTCTACCATTGAGCCATTTTTAATGCTTCAAACTTTGAGATTTTACTTCTGGTCTAGATAATTATGGTGCTAACATTATATAAGAGGTAATCTTTTTCTGATAAAATTGGTAAATTTTAAAAGATTTTTAAATTAAAAAAAAATATTTATTATTGCTAGGCATGGTGGCACACGCCTTTAATCCCAGCACTTGGGAGGCAGAGGCAGGTGTATCTCTGTGAGTTCAAGGCCAGCCTGGTCTACATAGTGAGTTCCAGGATAGCTGGGGCTACAGGGAGACCCTGTCTCAAAAAGACCAAAAAAAAAAAAAAAATTATTATTATTATGTATGTGAGTATATTGCCTGCATGTATGTAAGTGTACCCATGTTGTGCAGTGCCTGCAGAGGTCAGAAGAAGGTGCCATTGGATCCCCTGGAACTGGAGTTACTGATGGTTGTTAGCCACCATGTCTGCAAGAGCAGCCAGTGCTCTTAACCACTGAGCCATCCCTCCAGCCCCTATTTTTTAATTTATGTGTACATATATCTGTCTGAGTGTATGTCAAGTATATGTGGGTGCCCACCAAGGCCAGAAGAGGGCGTCAGATCCCGTGGAGTTGGAGTTACAGACACTTGTGAGCCAGCTCATGTGGGCGCTGAGAACCAAACTTGAGTCCTGCAAGAGCAACAAGTCTTAACCACTGAGCTATTGTTCCAGCCTCAGTAAAGTTGATTTTTATATTAGAAACATAATCTAAAACCTAAGCTGTCTCACACAGGGTTTCATAGCTTTCATCCTTGATGTGGTGGAAGCCCATGGTCTCTAGACCTCTCAGCTTCTTTTTTGTGTGGGCAGCTTATTTTTAGACCCCTCCTGCTGGCCCTAGGCAGCACCGCCCTCTGTCCGTTCTCATGCCAAATAGTCATGGAACTGGAACTTTGGCCTGGAGGTGAGGGACGACACTTGTCTGGTAGTGGGTACTTGCCCTTGTTATCCCTGGAGCAGTGGGAGTCAGTTCTGAAAAGAACATTGCTAGGTGGGGACTGGTGCATGCCTGTAATCCCTGTTACTTGGGAGGGTAAGGCAGGAGGACTATAAATTCAGGGTCTGTCTGGGCCATAGAGAATGTTCGAGGTCAGTCTGGGCAACTTAATGTCTCAAAATAAAAACAAATCTCAGGGTATAGCTCAGTGGTAGAGCCCTTGCGTAGCATGCATGAAGCCCTGGATTCGAGTCCTCAACACTGAAAAAACGGATGTTGATACGGTGGCAGGGGAATGGGTGCTGAGTCAGCAAAAAAGCTTTCCAGTACAGTTAAACTTCCCCTTTATCATCACTTCCCTGCAAATAACCCTGGGGTAGGCCCTAAGCCAGATGCGAAATTTGGATGAGAAACCGCATGAATAAAAACTTACCAAAGTTGGAAAGCCTTACTGATGCTAATCTAATTTCTTCCTTTTTCTCTCCACCCTGTTCCATACCCCATAGTTTCTATGACTATTTTGCCCATGTAATTTAATCTGATAACTACTTCCATATGGCTGTTAGCGGTGTGTCAGGGTTTCTTTTTTGAGTGTAGGATTTCTTCCCACTCCTTTATGACTCAGTGAATGCATCTTGGCCTAAGCTGCTCTCCAAACCCCACTGCTAGAAGGACAGTATGCAGATCGCAATCTGTAGCTGCAGCCCTAAAGCTCGAACATGATTACCAAAGAAGGGGTGTTTGGGGGACAATTTCTGTTTGATGCGAAGACTCTGCTTCTGTCCATTTGCTCTCTTTTCTGTTTGCACAGCATGCAAAGGAGGGCAGCTGCTTTCTCCCAACTCTGATGCATGCTGACTTCTCTTCCAGGGGTGCAGATTGCTGGAATGCACGCAGTGGTGGTCGGGCGCAGTAAAATAGTTGGTGCACCAATGCATGACCTGCTTCTGTGGAACAATGCCACAGTGACCACCTGCCACTCCAAGACTGCCAATCTGGACAAGGAGGTAGGCTGTCCAGAGTAGAGTAGGTATCCGGTGCCTGCTTACCCACCCTCATCTCACTTAACCCCAGCAGCAGCCCTGTGTTCCTTGAGTCAGTTTGTAACAAATTCAAATTACCACCTTGTCCACATTTGTGCAAACTGTTTTTTGTTTTGTTTTGTTTTGGGTTTTTTGTTTGTTTGTTTTGGTCTTTTTGAGACAGGATCTTCTTGTAGCCCCAGCTGGCCTGGAGCTCACTGTGTAGACCAGGCTGGCTTCGAACTCACAAAGATCCATCTGCCTCTGCCTCTCGAGTGCTGGGACCCAAGGCATGCGCCATCTCACCTGGCTATGCAGACTGTTTTGACCATGTACTTTCTACACCAGCGCGTCCCATGGCAGACAGGGATCGGCAATACAGGCAGCAGGGTTGGCATAGATCTTGCATTTATGAGAGTGTTGGCTTTGGAGGCAAGGGTGCTCCAAAAGAGGGTGTGCAGTTTTTTCTTTGTTGCCTTTTCTCTGGGGTGGGTGCTGGGGATCGAACCTGGGGTCTCCCTCATACTAGCAGTCACTTTATCACTGCGCCACATCCTCAGCCCTGGCAGCTTGCTCTTGATCCCTGCAGCGGAGTCCAGATACTAAGAATGTTCCCATGACTGTGTCCCTGTTGGCAGTGTAGTCTTTTATGTGGGCAGAGAGCAAGTTAGAAGCCCGGCACCTCCTCCTTTAATCTTCCCAAAACAGCACCTTAGAGACAGTTACAGTGCCTATAGTCAGTAGGAGAGGATGCGGTCTCTGGAGTTACCAGGAACACTGTCCTAAGTGTGTGGCTTCCCATTGTGCCAAAGCCTTCCTCACAGCTTCTCACTGTCTTCCCCATTAGGGGGATAACTGGTGAAAATACCTAGTGAAAGGGGGACTGTGTAAGATTGAGCACAGCATGGGAAGGGCCGTCATAAACAATGTGGTTTGCATTTGAGGCCTTAACCTAATATGCCTGAAAGAGTTGATGACAACCAAGAATTTAATGCTACAGCTCATGAGATTCCATTCTCCTTCTAAATTTGTTTTATTTTATTTGTGTGTATATTTCATTATTTCTGAAATCTGGATCCCTTCCCTTAGGTAAATAAAGGAGACATCCTGGTGGTCGCAACAGGAAAGCCTGAGATGGTGAAAGGGGACTGGATCAAACCTGGGGCTGTCGTCATAGACTGTGGGATTAATTATGTTCCGGGTGAGTGGTGCTGGGGAGACGGAACCTCACATCTCCTTTTATCTTACGTTCTGAGGTTTAGTGAGACTTAACTTGTGGGAGGTACACACAGTAGGTGAGTGTGGGCTATTCCATCTGGTGCAGAGCTTGTGACTTTCCCTCCTCTGCCATTCAGTTCCCAAGGTGACTGCCCAAAGAGGGGTCAAGAAGGTATTACTGCTAACTAATGAATTAATTAATCAATTAATTTTGAGACGAGGTCTCTCTGTGTAGCCCCTGCTGACCTCTAATGCCAGCCTCCTGAATGCTGGGATTACACATTTGCAGTGTCCCACCTAGCTCCTATTTTACCTTCATATAGCTGTCACCTTTTAATTAATCAATCAATTAATTAATCTTTGTGTTTATTTATTTTTGAGACAGAGTCTCACCTTATAGCTGTGGTTGACCTGGAACTCACTATGTAGAACAGGCTGGCCTCAAACTCACAAGATCCTCCTGCTTCTGCCTCCTGAGTTGCTGGGATTAAAGAGGTCTGCCACCACACCCAGCTATCACCCTTTATTTTAACAAAAGTGATAGATTTAAATTGTAAACTACAGCAGTTCCTTCTCCATAATTTTGCTTTCCTTGGTCAACTGTGGTCCAGAAATATTAAATGGAAGACTCCCAAACAGTTGATGAGTTTTAAATGGCTTGCCGTCCTGAGTAGCTCAATGAAGTCTTGTGTAGTCCTTCTGTATCTCACTTCCTACCTGAGACAGGAGTCATCCCTTTGCAGTGTCCATGCCAAACATCTGTTGTCTCTTAGTAAAGTTTTGTGAGATTTTGAGAGTGTAGCCAAATTTGGAAGGATTTTTTTGTTTGTTTATTTTTATTGTAACTGCTATATTTCCCTGATTAGTTACCGTCACCCGAGTTCTCTGGGGGTCTCTTGCTCCAGGTGCTATCAGACAAACCATATAACATATCTTTATGTGAGTTTATTATGATTTATATCATTGGCGTGGAGGGGAGTCACTTACAAAGGAATGAACAACCGGTACCCACCTCTGCGTGGCTCAGAACCAGCATTCTCACTTCTGAGGCCCACCCATAGTCACTGTTAACTTTCACCCACGCATCTTCGGCCTGCAGTCTCGCCCTAGGTCGGTAAATGCCCCCTCTGGCATCCATGTGGGTGAGACTCCGGGCCATCTTTCTCTCCACACCTGCCATTTGTGGCTTCCGTCCCAAGATGGCGCAGAAAGCCCTTCCCTCCAAGGCTAGCTCTCCACAGTCAGTTCTCAACAGGCCCCACCCCTTGGAGGAACCAGGCCCCTGGGACACAGTTAATAATGTTAATCTCTTACCTATGCTCGATTTGTGAATGAAATTTTATCATTGATACATATGCATAAGAAAAAACAGTATGCAGAGTCTGGTACTGCCCATGATTTTAGGTTCCAGCTGGAGAGTCTGAGAAGGTACTATAGAGATGGCGGCTATTGTATAATCATTGCAAAGTGCCCCTAGAGTCCAGAAGAGGTATTCACTCTGTCAAAACGTCTACAAAGGCTTTATAGAGATATTTGAACTGAAGATGCTTGACTCATTGGTATGGTAGTTTACAAACTACCTGGCAAGAGCAGCTTAGGCAAGGAGAGGTTTATTTTGGCCTACTATTTAGGTCCGTCATGGTAGGAAGGATGTGGAAGTGGGAGTGTGTCATGGGGCTGCTTACATCTTGGCCCATCAGGAAGTGGGGAGGTGAGGCCAAAACTAGAAGCAGCTATAGCCCTCAGGATGCCCTCCCAGGGACCTGTGTCTCAAACAGAACCACCGCTGGGGACCAAGTATTCAACACATGAGCACAAGGGGGACAGTTCACATTCAGCCATTATGCCTAGACGACTTCTCTCCTTTCTTCCTCCCCCCTCCCTCCCTTTCTCCCTCCCTCCCTCTTTCCTTCTTTTCCTCCCTCTCCCTTCCTTCTTTCCTTGTTCTTTTGGTTTTGGCCTGGGCCCCCGACTGGCTTTACTTTTATTTTTACTTTTCCTCTTCCCCTCCCTTTCTTTCCTACTTCCCTTACCTCCTCCCTTTTCAGGATCTTGCTACGTAGCCTAGGCTGGCTTCAGACTCTCCCACTTTACCTCCCTAGTGCTGAGATTTCAGGCACGTGCTGCCACCACTTGTGGCTTGACCAGAACTCTTTCTAGGCAAAGAAGATAAATCTATCCTTTCAGTCATGCCCTAAACCCACTTATGGCATCTCATCCAAGTCACTCCTAATTCTCCTGTTTTGGTTAATGACTTGCTCTGCCTTATGTGTCTGGATTTTTCCTTTTGACTGTTCTTAGATTGCATCCATTTTGAAACATTAAGAAAATTTTCCTCTCTCCTCCTTTCTCAGCGTCGCCTGTGAACATTGCTTTCTCACTGGGAGGATTGCTGCCTGTTCATCCTGGGCTCCCTCCCTGCATCTGATCCCACATAGATGACCATGTGCACTCAGCCACCCGCTGCCAAGGAGTGTGTGCTTCCCTCATATCTCTTGCCAATCTTTGCCTCACAGGAGGTTCAGCAACCCTCCCAGCCTTTTATCACCTGCATTGAGTGAATACTTGACTGAAGTTGTTGTGATTGGACCTTTGGACCACGTTCCCCATATATTCCTGGTTTGGCCTTGTCTTTTTACACTGTGTGTGTGTGTGTGTGTGTGTGTGTGTGTGTGTGTGTGATGCACACATATGCGGTGAGCATGTGGAGATCGGAGGACAGCTTATGTGAGTCAATTCTCTCCTTCATGTGGATTCCGGAGATTGCACTCAGACTGGAAGGTTTGGTGATGAGCCCTTTTGCCCACTGAGCCATCTCCTCTGCAGCTGCCGTCTGTCTCGTGGAGCAGATTGTTCTTTAAAACATAAAATTTCCAAGAACAATACAGGCATGCCCACATGCCTGTATACCTAGTAGACTGATGAAAGGAATGATTACTGAGTAATTATTTCTGTGCATTGAGCATCATGCCAAGCCTTAGGCTTCACGACTGAATATGGCTCAATTGTGGACTCTACTTACTGATTTATTATTTACTTATTTATTCATTTTGCAGGGCTGGGAATTAAACCTAGGGCCCTGTACATGCTGGGCAAGTGCTTTTCCATTGAGCTACATCAGCAATAACCTTCCTTTGTTTTTGGATTTTTTTTTTTTTTTTTTTTTTGGTCTTTTTGAAACAGGGTCTCCCTGTAGCCCCAGCTGGCCTGGAACTCAGTATGTAGACCTTGAACTCACAGAGATCTGCCTGCCTCTGCCTCCTGAGTCCTGAGTGCTGGGATTAAAGGCATGCACCACCATGCCAGGCTCTTTCTGGATTTTAAATTGCTTCTTCAACTTCTCTTGTCTCTAATGTTAGTTCTTCCTAAACCTTGTCTGATACCCTTTCATCCAGGAACCATTACTGTCTTGAATATCCTCTTTCCCTCCACTCCCACACAACTCGGCATTTCGGATGTGTCAGTGCTTAATGTCCTGCCCCTCCTGGTTCCACAGTCCTTGCAGGCAGTGGTCTCTGCGGTGCCCTGTCAAGCGTCCTGCCTTCTGACACTAGCACTCAGATCTGTCATTGTTGAAGAGAGTTAAAGCAAGGATCATTTTTTCTCTCTTCCTATCTGAAGTTTGAAATGCAGACACTGAGCTGCCAGGAGTGTTAGTCACTGTCAAGTGCTCACCGTTTTTAACCTCCCTCCCACTCTGCCTCGATTTTAAGACAGTAGCACATAATTGATCACTAATTTCTGGTAGTATAATTATCTAATGGGTGAGAAAGAAATTGCTCTCCTACAACTCCTCACTTTGAATACTTGCAATATGACATTCAAGCTCATTTCTAGTTAAATCCTTACATCTTCTGGATCATGCGTTACTGCTTTGGGCCTTGTTTTTGGATGAGGTGTGAGTGAGATAGAAAAGAGCTTGGGCTAGTGATATAGCCTGGTGGTCAGGTGCTTGCCTACCTTGTGCAAGGCCCTGGATTCAACCTTCATCATTTCAGGAAAATTATTATTTTTGAGATGAAAAACCTGGGTCAAGATCTAGAATTCTGTAGATAAGTCTGAAATGTTGATGTAAACATTAATTTCTCATGTAGATAGTAAATTAGTATAGATGGACATCAGTGTTTTCACCAATCCTAGGCATATAGACAAGTAAATATTAAGACTGGCACATGTAGTTCCCCAGAGATGGCAGAATCACTGAATTACAGGCCAGTAGCAGGCTTTAAGACCTAAAGACTATTCTTTAAATATCTTCATCTTAGAAGCACTGTTTTCCACACCTGGGCCACTTCATGGTTCATATCTTGATTGTTTAAATTGTTTGCTTGAGAATTATAGCTCATTGATAGAATGAGAGCACAGCATGCACAAGGTGCTAAGGTTTATTTTATTAAAAAATGAAAAGCAGGCTGGGCGTGGTGGCGCATGCCTTTAATCCCAACACTTGGGAGGCAGAGGCAGGCGGATATTTGTGAGTTTGAGGCCAGCTTGGTCTCCATAGTGAATCCAGGACAGCTAGGGCTACAGGGAGACCCTGTCTCGAAAAGACCTAAAAAATAAAAAAGCATCCACATTACAGCTAATAGCTGACCATAACTCCAGTTCCAGAGGATCCAACGCCCTCTTTTGCCTTTCTGGGCATTGTATGCACATGGTACACTTACATACATGCAGGGAAAACATACACAGAAGACCAGGGTTCAATTCCCAGCACCCACATGGGGTAGTTCACAACCACCTGTAGCTCTAGCTCCAGGGGATCTGATACCCTCTCCTGGCCTTCATGGATACCTGCATGTATATGATATATATATATACACACAGATACACACAATAATAAATAAAATAAAAATAATTTGCATGATTTACTCAAGGATCAGAGAATAAATCACTACATAATTAAGAATGAATTAAGGTAAGTATATTTTTTACAAAAATTTTTGTAAAAAACTCTAATAATAGAGAATATGAATGGGGATAATAAGATGGGAGTGAAGATGGAGGAGGGATCAGAATATGATCCAAGTACATTGTGTGAAATTCTCAATAAAAATATTTTTTAAAAATTTTTTGCAATGTTAAGGGATCAAACTCGGGATCTTGCACATGCAAACTATTGCACACTCTGCCACTGAGCTACATCTCCAGTCATCCAAAAGAGTACTTTTAGGAATCAAGTGCAGTGCAAAAAGCTTTGGCCAGAACAACTTGTAAACGTGTTCATTCTGCTTAGGTTACCAGTGACACTAATTGGAGAAGAGTTAGGTTGCTAGTGTTTGTCTGGAAGTGCGATAAAAAGAAGGAACACGTTCCCTACCATACCCCAATCCAGTTTCAACTCATCCTGTAGCATAATTAGACTTCCGTACTGGCCTCTATAGTTAGGGGTCCCCAAATTAAATGTGATGGAGTCACTTGAATTTTGTATTTACAGTCTTCCCATTGAAAGAGAAATTCCAGGGCTAGGCGTGGATAACCTAGTTTCTTTCTTCACTGAAGCTGTGCTGGCAGATGGGTACTTTCCCACTGACCACATAATGCTTTGAGACATTCTGTCTACGTCAGCAGGCAATTAAGTCAACCCTCATAGTGTTCTATAGGAGCAGAGCTGAGCTCACCCAGTTAGTGTTTGGTTTCATAGTCATTGCCCTGTGAGAAACTAAAATGACTGACATTAACCAATAGAGACGCAAGGAACACTTTAAGCTAATTTCAGTGTTGAAAGCTCTGCAAAGGGAAAATCCTTAGCACTTAACATTTTTATTTCTTATGTGTGTGGGGGAGCAGTGTGTGCATGTCATGAGTGGTATGTGGAGGTCAGAGGACTACTTTCTGGGGTTGGTTCTTGCCTTCCAGCTTGTCAAGCCAGTGCATCTCTTGTTTCTGCTGTGCTGTGTATTCCGGCAGTGGGGCCGCCTAGTTTCCTGGCCACTCTCCTGTCTCCACCTCCCATCTCACCCTAGGAATGCTGGAATTGCAGATGCATGCCACCCCATCCTGCTTTTCCTGTGGGTTCTGTGAATCAAACTCAGGTTGAGGCTTGTGCAGCTAGTGCTTTTGCCCACTGACCCATCTCCGCTGCCTGCTTAGCATTTTAGAAATAACTCTGAGGGCTATAAGGAGAGATTTTCTGGCCATAGTTTACTGCTTTAGAATCTTTCAGTTGCCAAGGAGTTGTGCTCACCAGCACCTTCTAGAACATATTAATCCTTTAAATGAATCTAGGGTGGCAAAAACGTCTGTTAGCAAATACTGTTTCAACTTCAGAAATGTGCATACTTTCTTGTTTGGTTCTCAGTAAGTCTGTGAGATAGTAGGGCCAGGTCTCTGCATCTTTTCACCTCAGGTAAACGCTGAGCCTCCAAGGGCAAAGGATGGTCAGTGGAAGAGCTTACCCTAGAGACTGAGTCTCTAGGTGTGCTGGCTTTATGGCTACACCTGTAAGCGTTCTCTCTCAGTTGTGGAGATCGCCTCAAAGAGAAGTGGGAATGTGGCTAAGATTCTATTCGCTACCCCCCCCTTCAACTTTGATGTTTCAAGGTCTAGGCCGGTCCTCCAGCCCCTCCTGAAAGTGGACCAAAGCCAAGTGGAGGATGTTCTTTGTGCAAAGTGAGCAATGTGCATCACTGGGTTTTGTTCCCCTGAATAGCTGTTCTTTGCTGGTGAGATTTGTAGTTGTTCTGGTATCCTTTTAAGGGAAGTGTAATTATATTCTTTGCCTTTAGCAAAGTAACTGCTCAGTCTTTGGAACTGATGTTGAATTGTTCCCCCGACTCATGCCTGGAGCTCACAAACTGCTGACAGTTGCTGTAGAAACGGTATCTGGCAGCTGTGACATAGTTGGAGCTTTGTGTACCTAGAAAATTTCTTTTGTAGGCCTTGGTAAATTAACATTTCCAAAGGTGCTCATTATATAGTAGGTCATTGGTTTTAAAAATAAAGTAACTTCTATTTACCACCTGAAGGATGACAATAGGATTCTCCAGATTCTGGTTCTGATATATATTGCTTTGTACATAGTTGTGAAATTCTTCAGGTAATACAATTTTCTCCCTAGAAAACAGCAAATACTTGGCATCTCTCTTGTACTGGTGGTAGGAATGGAACCCAGGACCTCACACATGCTAGATCAGTACTCTCTCTGTCTAGTAGCTTTTAAGTAGACACTTAAGCCCGCTGAGACTAGTACACTCTTAAATTTTGCATACATTTTGGAACAAACTGTCATAACTGATCACCTAAGTTGGAGATAAACACCAGTATTGTAAGCTTACACCTTTACTCCCAGCACTCTGGAGGCAGAAGAGGCAAGTGGATGTCTATAAAATGGAGGCCAGCCTAGTCTGTGTAATAAGTTGACGGCCTGCTGGGACTACAGAGAGACCCTGTCTCAAAAAAGACCAAAAGACAAACAAACAAAAACATCAGTACTGTGATTCTGAGACTTCACTTTGATTTTTTTTTCCTTTCCTGCTTCTGGACCAGATGATTCAAAGCCAAATGGAAAGAAAGTTGTAGGTGACGTGGCATATGATGAGGCCAAAGAGAGGGCAAGCTTTATCACACCTGTCCCCGGCGGTGTGGGGCCCATGACTGTGGCAATGCTGATGCAGGTACTGGTGGAAAAAGTTTCTATGACTGTTGTGAAAACCCAAAAGAATTGTAGCTGCTGCTTTTCTCCCCAAAGAGACACTACATAAAACATGCTCAGAACTTAGGACAGATAGGAATCTGTGGAAGGGAAAGGAATGGGAGAACAAGGACATAACTCACCTTTCCTGATTAGAGGAAATGGTAGCATTCTTGCTTCCTTTGGAATATAGAGCTTAAATAGAAACACAAACACTGACCGATACACCTGCTGATAAGGAAAGAGGAGTAGCCCTGGAGCACCAGCAGGTGCACATGCTCTTGCACTCATCTCAAGATGAGGCATTGTATAAGAGAATCATGAAGCAGTTCATTTTGGGCTGAACTATAGTGACCTGGGGTTTGGAACTGATGTAGGGAGTTAAACTGTTCACTTTTCCAATTCTGTCTCTGCTTAGAGCACAGTAGAGAGTGCGCAGCGTTTCCTGGAGAAATTTAAGCCAGGAAACTGGAAGATTCAATATAACAATCTGAACCTCAAGACACCTGTGCCAAGGTAAAAATGCAGTGTTCTTGATTTAGAACTTTGTGCATGGCTAGGTTTCAGCTACTGGATACCGTGTGTCCATATGCTCCCACTAGCAGCACCATCAGTTGGAGTGGGGGTGGGGGATTAATTATAGTGACTGAAGATTAACAGCCATCTTCTGTGTTTTTAAAGTGATATCGATATATCAAGATCTTGCAAACCGAAGCCCATTGGTAACCTGGCTCGAGAAATTGGGCTGCTCTCGGAAGAGGTGGAATTATATGGTGAAACAAAAGCCAAAGTTCTGCTGTCGGCACTAGAGCGCCTAAGGCTCCAGCCTGATGGGAAATACGTGGTGGTGACTGGGTATGTGTGTGTTGGTGTTGCCAGGCCGGTCTGCACATTCAGCCCCCTGGCTATCACCAGTGGCGGCATTTTGCCCTTAGCACACAAGGAAGAAGCTGATAGTGTGGTCTTGGCATTTTCACATGCATTTGAAATAATATCATGCTTATAGCAGCCCTGTCAGTAGTCACAGTAGAAATCCTTCAGAAAATGAGAAAATTGGTCAATTTATCATTTAGGTAAAAGAGTTTGATTTTTCAGATAAAATAATTTCATTTATTAATTAAAAAAATTTTTTTGCATCTATTTGTGGGGCAGGGAGTGAGGGGGGCTTGTACATGAGGCACATGTACCCTGTGGAAGTCAAAAGTTTTCTCCTCCCATGTGAATTCTGGGGATCAAACTCAGATTGTCAGGCTGGATGACAAGAGCCTTTACCCCTTGAGCCATTATACCGGCTCCTTTTTTTTTCTTTCTTGTTTTTGAGGCAGGGTCTCACTGTGTAGCTTTGGCTGTCCTAGAATTCACTATATAGACCAGGCTGGCCTTGAACTCACAGAGATTCGCCTGCCTCTGCCTCCTGATTGCTGGAATTAAAGGCATGTATCACCATACTGGCGGCTTTTACTTTTTTTTATTTAAAAAAAGAAAATCATTGATTCACTAGATTTCTTGGACAGCTGTTTTTATTGCTGGACTAAGTTATAGATAAAAGCAAAATTTTTTATGTTTTTTTTTTTTTTAACACTGAAGATTGAACCCAAGCCTTGTGCATGTTAGGCAAATGATCTATCACTGAGCCCCCAGAATTATTTTTCGAGATTCTAAATTTAAAAATGAAAATTAAAGGATTGCAAGGACAAGTGTCAGTTATATTTCCTCCTTATAGTGAGTAGAAAGTATAGCATTTTGTTGTTGTTGCTATTGTGTGTGTGTGCACGCGTGCGTGCATGCGCACATATGTGTGGCGGTCAAAAGACAACTTTCCAAGTTCCAGGGATGGAACTCAGGTTGTAAGGCTCCAAGGAAGTTGGGGCTGGAGAGATGGCTTAGCAGTTAAGAACACTGACTGTTCTTGCAGAAGACCCAGGTTTGAATTCCAGCACCCATATGGCAGCTAACTACTGTCCGTAATTCCAGTCCCAGGGGATCCAACAGCCTCTTCTGACCTCCTCAGGCATTGCATGACACGGGTGCACTTACCTACATGCAAGCAATACATGCATACACATAAAATAAAAATAATAAATAAAATTTTTAAAAAAAGTCTCCAAGGAAGTGCTTTTATCTGCTGAGCCATCTAGTGGTTGGTTGGTGGGTTTGTTTGTTTTTTGAATGTTTTGAAAATTATAATTTAATACTTAAAAGAGCTCTCTCTCTCAGAGCTTTTGTTTTCATATTATTTAGACTAGGAGTTATTCTCTGGAGTCTGCTAGGTCCATCCTAGTGATTCTAATAAAGTTAATTATGTAAGTAAACAGTTTGTCTTTTGTTTTCCTCTTGAAGCATAACTCCAACACCTCTGGGAGAAGGGAAGAGCACAACCACAATTGGTCTGGTGCAAGCACTGGGTGCCCACTTGCATCAGAATGTGTTTGCATGTGTGCGGCAGCCTTCTCAGGGCCCCACCTTTGGAATAAAAGGTACGTGTGGCCAGAGGGTACTTTCTTCTCCTTAGTCCTCCCAGATTGACTTGACCCATATCTTAACTCATTTAGATACCTGGAATATTTTCCTCAGACCTTGGTTTTGTGATGCATTCAGGGAGGGCATCCATTTACCCCAATTCCTGTCAGTATCTGACATGGGACAAGGATTCTGTGGTATGGAGAAAGTGTAGCTGGGTATTCACTATCACAGTAACAGTAAAGGAAATCTTAGCTACCGATACAGGTTTACATGGAAACAAAGACCCACGCCACAAGTGTCTCCCTTTTGGAAGTAGGAAAAGCCTGTCCTCATTGAGTGTCTACTTTGTGCTAGGATTTGTCTAAGCAGTTTATATATGCTTCTTTGTATCCTCCCATATGAGATGTGATTATCACCAACTTATGATAGCAGTAGTGGGAGTTTAACATAACTAGGTCAAAGGCACCATTGTTACTTATTTTGTATTAGTAACACGTATTTTGTATAAGTGTGTTGCCATGGTGTATACATGGAGGTCTGAAGACAACCTGAGGAATCTGTTCCTTCTACTGTGCCCGTCCTGGAGCTCAAGGTCAGGTGGTCAGGCTTGGTGGCAAACACCTTTTCCCACTGAGCCATCTTGCTGGCCCCTAAAGGCACCATTATTAACTTCAACAAGAACAGCTCTCATCTGTCTGTTTCAAGTTCTGCGTCACTACACACAACACTTCTGATTAGATGAGAACGCCAGTACTCACGTTTAACCTTCTAATTTTGATCACTGTGGTTCTGCAAACATGCTTTTAGCTATTCATGTATTTTTTTTCAGATTGTTTATTGATTTCCCCCCTGCCCCCGATTGGTTACTGTTAAATTGAGGGCATCACACATATTAGACAGATAGTTTTGCTGCTACTTTCAGAACATGCTCCTTTAATTAAACTTACTTTTTACTATGGCATGTTCTTGGAGGCAGCCATATCATTTGCTAGATGACAGGTGTGGTGTTCTACTTGTTCCAGTAATTAATGCAAATGCTGACAGCAGGTACCTCTTCCCTCCTGCCAGTTTTGACTTGGTTCTGCTTATGAGCATCATTTTGTTTTGTTTTGTTTTGAGATAAGGACTTGCGAATAGTTCAGACTGTCCTGGAATTCTCTTTGTAGCCCAGGTTGTCCAGTTTGCCATCCTTCTGCTTCCTGAGTGCTGGGATTATGGGTGTGAGCCACCATGTTCTACCTTTGAGCTTATTATAACAATCCCCTTTCAGCTCCAGGAACCTTCCCCTTGTTCTGATTAGAGAACCCCATTATCTTCTTCTCTTACTGAATTTTCCTCATTGCATGGTCTCTGCCCCACAAAAATCAAATCTGTTCTCCATACTGACATTTGTTTTACTGATGATGTGACAACCTGATCATTTTGACTGGCCTTTTGTTAACCAAATGGGCCAGCAGAACTCTGGCAGTTGCACTGTTTTCTAATGTATGTCTCATATTCTGGAAGTGTTGGCATGTCTGTGTTAGGTATGTGTACTTTAAAGATTCGTTTTTTGGAAGCCAGAGTAGCTTTGTGAGAGTAGGGAATTAAACAGGCTTGCCTTTATATAACTGTCATCTGGGTTTTTAACATGTTAGGAATCACAGGAGTCTATTTCTAAAGATAATGAGTGGGTATATATGTGTGTGTTCATGGTTTTGTCATTTGCACTCAGATTTCAGTTGAGAGACTATTCAATGTGAAGAAGATCAAGTGTTTTAGTGCATTAAAGAAAATTAGAAAATACCTGATCATATCTGTCCAAATGATGGTGAAAAGTAAACAAGTAGTATGCTTAGCTGACTTGTTTGTGTTTGGATTCCAAGTCTTGGAGAAGCACATCTAATGAGCCCCCGCCCTGATCTGTCCCCTAGGTGGTGCTGCAGGTGGTGGCTACTCCCAGGTCATTCCCATGGAAGAGGTAAAGTCCTCTGGCTTTTGGCTAAATCAGAGATTATATTACAGCTTTTTCCCCCCTCTAGAGACTGAACATTTTTTTTAGAATGCTTAGTGGACAAATGACTTGTTTCTCAACACGAGTAATACATTAGGCAAAATATATTAATTTGTAGACTTGTGACAACAGTTTGGCCCCAAGTCTGGCTTGCAGTGGGAATAATCATTTTAAGTAGGTGAACATACATGCTGCATGATCTGGAGACCTGCAGAGTCTTAGTGAAAAAAGTGTACAGACATGGATTGGAGCTGCTCTGGCATGCTCCTCACTCTTTTGGCTTCAGGAGTCTGGCTGCTGCTGCTGTTGACCCCAGGTGGTATCTGTGCTCTCTGGACATGCTACTTAGGGAACACCGTGAGTTCTGTGTTTGCAGGAGTTGTTTCTGAGGACAGATAGCCAGCTACTCTCTTTTTTAAAAAAATTTCTCATATTTGCTTTGTAGCCTGGGTTGACAGTAAGCTGGCAGCAATCCTCCTGCCTCAGCCTCCTACACACTGAGATTACGGATGGGAGCCACTGCAGCTGGCTCAGGCACCTGTCTTTCATAAGCTGCCACTCCTGGGTGTCCAGCAGTTGCCGTCCCACTGTCAGTAATCCTTTGCACAGGGATGGATTTCATCATGGTAAAAGGAAAACTAGAATGCAGAGCAGTTGGAGACAGCTGTGGCTTCTACTCTTTTGTAGTTTAATCTCCACCTCACTGGTGACATCCATGCCATCACCGCAGCTAATAACCTTGTTGCTGCTGCCATCGATGCTCGGATATTTCATGAACTGACCCAGACAGACAAGGTAGGATATGGAGGACTTTTTTTTAAAAGGGGGAAACACTGAAATAGTGTTGGTTCCTTGGATGCTGATTCGAGTGGTAAGACAGTGAGACTTCTCATCTTAAAAGCCCTTTTCTTCCCTTTCTTTAAGGCTCTCTTTAATCGTTTGGTGCCATCAGTAAATGGAATAAGAAAGTTCTCTGATATCCAAATCCGAAGGTTACGGGTAAGCTTTTTCCTCTTGATTTCTGTTATGCTAAGAAATGGGATTGATATGGATGGTGAGGATTGCTGGTAGAGGAGGTTTTTTCCTCTTTATAAATTATAAGTGGTTAGTGCCAGAGTAAATAGATCACTGACCATCTGCCTTCAGCTAGGAAGAAAACCCAGGCCTCCTTTGTAACGTGGGAAGAGTAAGGATGTCACTGGACATGTATGGTTTCTGGAGTTTGAATCCCTGCTCTTCCCAGCACTGGGATCTTAAGTCACTTTGTCATGTGATTTGACTCTGTTTACTTATTGGGGTTTTTTTGGTCTTTTTTGAGACAGGGTCTCCCTGTAGCCCCAGCTGTCCTGGAACTCACTATGTAGACCAGGCTGGCCTTAAACTCACAGAGATCTGCCTGCCTCTGCCTCCCGAGTGCTGGGATTAAAGGCGTGCGCCACCACACCTGGCTTTTTTTGTACTTTTATTTATTATTTTTATGTGTGTGTATTGCCCACATGTAGGTAAGTGCACCTGTGTCATGCAATACCTGCAGAGGACAGAAGAGGCTATCAGATCCCCGGGAACTGGAGTTACAGACAATTGTTAGCTGCCATGTGTGTCCTGGGATCCGAACCCGGGTCTTCTGCAAGAACAGACAGTGTTCTTATCTGTTGAGCCATCTCTCCAGCCCTATCTGTTTATTTATTTGTAAAACGGGATTAATAATATTTGTCCTGCATAAAGGACTCTCAGAGAATTAGTTACTTGTGTACTTTGACTTATTTATTTTTTATTTTATTTATTTGTTTTTTGAGACAGGGTCTCACTGTGTGGGACCTAGCTGGCCTGGAACTTGCTACATAGACCAGGCTGGTCTTGAACTCACAGAGTTCCATCTGTCGTAACCTCCTCTGAGTGCTAGTACTAAAGGCGTATGTACCACGCCCAACTATACTAAGTCACTTTTTTATAAGATTACATTTATTATGTTTACTTTATGTGTGTGAATATTTTTGTTTGCATGTGTGTAAGTACATCACTGTGTAGTGCCTGTGGAGGCCAGAAGACATGTCAAATCCCCTGGATCTAGAGTTATAGACAGTTATGAGCCACCTTGTGTGTATTAGGAACTGAACTTGGGGTCCTCTGAAAGAGCAGCAAATACTCTTAACCCCTGAGCCATCTCATCATCTTTATAACCCTTGTAGTCTTTTTTTTTTCTTTTCTTTTTTTCTTTTTTCAAGTCAGTGTCTCCCTGTAGCCCCTGCTGGCCGGGAACTGGCTATGTAAACCAGGTTAGCCTGGACCTCATATATATCTGAGTGCCTCTGCCTCCCAACTGCTGGGATTAAAGGTTTGTGCCACCGTGCCTGGCTCCCTGTAGAGAGTTGGGGGAGGGGACATATACATAGAGGACAACCTTAAGGAGTTTTTGGTTCTTACTTTCTCCTTGTTGAGGCAGAATCTCTTCTGCTGTTATGCAGCATATGATATTCCTGTTTCTACCTCCCATCTCACTGTAGGAGTGCTGGGATTACAGGTGCTTGTCACCTCATCTGGCTTTTTAATGTGAGTTTTCCCAGAATTGAAGTCAGGTCATTCGGCTTATACAGCAAACACTGTGACCTCCTGAGCCATCTCCCCAGCCCTAGATCATTAAGCACATAATTTAGCACATGACCCAGAGATTCAACTCCTCGTGCTTTTAACCTGAGAAATGAAAGCTTGGATTCACACAACGTATACATGTATGTTTCTGTGTCTATTAATAATTTCCCAAAAGTGAGAAAAATCTCAATGTCCTTCAATAGATGGATGCTTAAATAAAAATGGTGCATCCATACAATAAAAAAGAAATGAGTTGTTGATACAACAACCTGGATGTGAATCGCAACAGCCTTGTGTTGAATAAAAGAAACTGATTTCTGAAGACTATAGACTGTGCTTCTGTTTATGTGGCATTTTCAGTAGGACCAAACTGAAAAATAATTGCAGCAGACCAGTGGATGCCCAGAGTTATGAGTCAAGGGACAGCATGACTATAAAGAGAATAAAGTGAAGGAATGGATGCATGCATTACTCTTTTTTTTTTTTGGTCTTTTTGAGACAGGGTCTCCCTGTAGCCCCAGCTGTCCTGGAACTCACTATGTAGACCAGGCTGGCCTTGAACTCACAGAGATCCACCTGCCTCTGCCTCCTGAGTGCTGGGACTAAAGGTGTGTGCCACCACGCCCAGCTGCACGCATTACTTTATCCAAAAAGGCAAGACTTGTTTATGTATGCATGTATGTGTTCTGTGGCACATGTAAGCATTCAGTTGATGGTATGTGGTACTTATCAGCACTTCTCTATTTTTAATTCTTTTCAACCTTTTTTCCCCTTGGTGCTGGAGATTGAACCCATAGTCTCATACATACTAAGCACACTGCCCTACCAGTAAGCTGCATGCCCCCAACCCCTGCAACTTTGTATTTTGATCCCACAGCAATAATCCCTAGAGCTTGCTTTACCCAGGTCCTTGTTTATATGCTGTGCTACTTGCAGTTCTGTCCATATTTTGATATGTGCATTTTTTTGTGTGCCATCAGGAACAACTAGCTTTTAAGCAGTTTATATTCTTTGGCTTATTTTGTTTTTAATGCCTCTTCAAAATCTGTTCATCAGGTATATCACCTGTTACTCAGACCTGTGTTCTGTAGTACAGCAGTTTGTAACCTTATAATAGGACTTCCTGTCAAAAAGGGAGAGGAGAAAATTCCCTGGAGGATTTTAAAACAAGAGACTTTGCCAGTGTCACGGTACCATCCGCAGGGATTGAACTGGAGTTTGGACTCCTGTCCCTCTCTCAAGGCATCCTCTACTGCATAGTGTTTTCACAGTCTTTCCGGGGTGTTCAGTCAGGAGTAGGTTGCTGTCTTAGTTACTTTTCCTGGTGCTATGATAAAAACACCCCGACAAAACCAACTTAAGTGAGAAGGGGTTTATTTTGGCTCCCAGTTCAGGGTACAGTCTGTCAGCAGGAACTTGAGGTAGCTGGACTCAAGTCCACAGTCAAGAAGCAGGGAGCACTGAATGCTTGTGTTCAGCTCATTTTCTCCTTTTTATACAGTCCTGGATCCTAGCCCAGGGCATACATAGTGCTGTCCACAGTGGTTGGGTCTTCCCACTCAACCTAATAAAGATAATCCCAACAGGTATCCCCAGTGGCCCATCTCCCAGGTGATTCTAGATCTCATCAAGTTGGACAATTGAGGTGAACTCTCAGAGTTGCCAACTGTTGTTTCTTAGTAAGGTGACTGAGGGGTTTGTAGGTTTATCTAACAACATCAAGTTTAAGGCTTGTGGGACTATCTGACAAGCAGCCCTAGAAACATACTCAAGGTTTCAGAATAAATTCTTACAAAGAAAGGAGCTGGGCGTGGTGGCACACGCCTTTAATCCCAGCACTCAGGAGGCAGAGGCAGGTGGATCTCTGTGAGTTCAAGGCCAGCCTGGTCTACATAGTGAGTTCCAGGGCAGCTGGGGCTACAGGGAGACCCTGTCTCAAAAAGACCAAAAAAAAAAAAGAGAAAGGAACATGGGCAGAGAGAGTCTTGCTGAGCTTGCTTAAAACTACTGAGTTAGGGGGCCAAGGCAGAATGGGAAGCAACATTTTTCAAAGCTAGTATTTACTGATTCCCAGTGGTGTACTGGGACTGTTCCAGATACTTTGCCATCTAAGCCTGTGATATCCTCGTGCCATAGTGTTGTGTTGCTGTCTGCTCTTGCAGAGGACCTGGGTTCAATTCCCAGCACCCACATGGTGACTAACAACCATCCTTTGCTCCAGTTTCAGGGGATCTGACACCCTCTTCTGACTTCCATAGGCACTGCATGACAGGAGTGCATTTACATACATGCAGGCAATACACTTATACACAAAAAATAAGCATTTTCCATTTCAAGAGATGATCTGTGTAGACACTGTACATAGTTAAATCCCCAAATTCTGTGAAGAGGAAAGTAAAATCCTTTTTGTGTCATTTTTAGAACCGTAAGAAGTTGGCAAAAGTACCACATAAAAAACATGTAAAAGATGTTAAATTGATTGTTAATGATTGCTGCTTATTTCTCCCTTTCCTAAAATTTCGTTTAAGTTGGGCTTCTTGATAGTCTGCTTTTAAAAGCTTTGCATATTGCTTTTCCTTTCAATATGCTTGATGGTTCAGGAAGTGTTTTAGGGTACTTCTGTCGCTGCTGTTTTAGGGCCGGTTGAGGAAAGGGTCCTAAGCTTAGTTACAGAGATGTGTCAATAATACCTTTGTACCTATGAGTAGGGAATAACCTCCAGGTTTAGACAAAAGGATCACCATTTTCCCTTTTGAATTTAAGGTGCTTTATAGTTCTGAATGCTGGAGTTCTATAGGCTGGACCTGATGGTTTTTATTTCCTGAAAGAGACCCTATCTCAAGATAAACTCAATTTTTTTTTTCCCCTAAAATGTATGCTTCTCTTTCTTTTTCCTTTTTCTTTTTCTTTTTCTTTTCTTTTTTTTTGTCTTTTTGAGACAGGGCCTCCCTGTAGCCCCAGCTGACCTGTAACTCACTATGTAGACCAGGCTGGCCTTGAATTCACAGAGATCGCTTGCCTCTGCCTCCTTAGTGCTGGGATTAAAAGTGTGGTTGCTCAGCTCCTCTTTTTTTTGTTTTAAAGGGAGAAAGCATTTATTTTAGCTCACAGTTCAAGATACCATTTGTTTACTACAGTGGGGCAGGAACAACAGCAGGAGCTTGAGGCAGCTAGTCACATTGCATCCATAGTCAGGAACCAGAGGGTGGTGACTACTCCTGTCTTATTGTCTGTTTTAATTCCCTACTTTTTCAGAGGCTAGGCATTGACAAGACTGATCCTGCCACACTGACGGATGACGAGATAAACAGATTTGCAAGACTGGATATTGATCCAGAAACCATAACATGGCAAAGAGGTACCCGCTCAGGCTGTCAGCCCTGTGTGCATTGGTAACACCACACCTCCCATGCCCCCCAGAATGCTCATGGATTGGCCTAATGCATGACCAGGGTGGTCACATTGTTTGCTTCCCTTGTCAGTCTCAGTAGCTGTGTGGATGTCCCCATGTAGGACTGATTGAACATCTTGCTGTCTGTTCAATGTTGATTGAAGTGAGGGTTTCAAAGGAAGTTCATGCATAAACCAAAAATAACATTTTTCAAGTTTCATTTTATGCAGAAAGCTTTGGTGTCATGAAGTGGGAAATGATGTTTAATCACTTCTTGAATCATCTGTGCCCTTTATTCTCAGAATTCTTCTGGCACTGATGACTTAATTTTTCTTGTAGCTCTTCAGCCTGCCTAATCATTTTATACTTCGTTTTATTGAATTCTCTTGTAACAAATTAGGCAACCTTCAATGTATTGAGCCATTTGCCTGACTTCACCACCATATGTTGCTTTTCTCTATGTACAATTAGCGTGGCTTAGAATTTTATTTTCTACTAACAGTATATCCATCTATTTTATAACACTGCTGAGAAGAAAGTTTCATCTAGTCATGCAGAATGTGCCCTAAAGGCCAAATTATCAACTGTTCCCTCATTGTTATCGACACAGTAATCTTGTTGCCCAGGTTGGCTCCAAACTCACTGTGTAGCCAAGGATGACTTTGAACTCCTGACTCTCCTGCCTCTACCTCCCAAGTGTTGGGATTACAAGTGTGCACTATCATGACTAGCTTAATGGCATTCTTTTTTTTTTTTTAGATTTTTAGCAGTCTGTTTATTATTTATCCCTCCACAGCCCACCACACACACAGAGGAGGTTATTTGGAATGGGTCACTCTGAAATTGGAGGTACCCATATCACTTTGTAGGTTATGTGGGGGTATGGTTCAGGTAGAACTGTCATCTGCTTGTATTACAGAGGGAAGGCGGACCAAGGCACACCCATAAACGTGACCATACCCAGGAGAGTTGATTGGCAAGCCAAAGACAATTCTTCCAATAAAGGCACTTTTACAGGGGATGTAGCTCAGTGGAGGGTGCTTACTTAGCATGCACGTGGTTCCTAAGTTCAATCTCTTATACCATAAAGGGACTTTTGCCTCAATGGGATCTGAGGGTTAATTGGCTGGGTGTTATGGGGACAGCAGGAGTTTTTGATGGAGGAGCTATTTATAGATTTCGGAGAGAGATGAATGAGGCTCACCTACACCATTTTTGGGGTCAGTGGGGGCTGCTGTATGTCTTTGCTGCCAAAGCGAGAAGGTGAAGTAGGCATCATAGCCAAAGAGGAATGTAGCAGTTAGGCCTAGTACCCCAGCAACAGTTTTGAAGTTCCCTCTTCCATCCATAAGGACAATAATGGAGGTGCTTAGGTAGAGAATGGCAGCTGAGAGGATCTGAAGAAGTCAGTCCAGGGCCAATTGATGAATGGTACCTTGGAGTGCACTTCACAGATGTAGAAGACAAATAAGACAGCATCAAAGATCATCTCAATCACTGGCAGGGAAGAGTATGCTGATGTCAATGCACTGAAGCATATAGAAATCACTAAGCACAGTACAATCTCAGCAAACAGGAAAATTCCCTTTCTGGTACACCTGTAGCTGGTGTAGGCTAGCCAGTAGCCAGGGACTGAGAGGTGGGCAGAGTCTGCCATGTGGTGTGAGCTGGAGTCCCTGGGATGCCGAGGATCTGCTTGCTTGTTCCTGGGTTCAAATACACTGTACACCCAGCTGTTTGTCCAACTGCCTGGTAGGGTTGTTTTTTTTTTTTTTGGTCTTTTTAGCCCCAGCTGTCCTGGAACTCACTATGTAGACCAGGCTGGACTTGAACTCAGAGATCTGCTTCCCTCTGGCTCCCATGTGCTGGGATTTAAAGGTCAGTGAGTTGCCCCACAGAACAACACAAACCACAGCCTTTAAAAAAAGTGGGGACTGGAGAGATGGCTCAGAGCCTCCCTCAGAGCACTGGTTGCTCTTGCAGAAGACCCACGTTCAGTTTCTAGCACCCACATAGCAGCTAACAACCATTCATAACTCCAGTTCCAGGGGATCCGGCGCCTTCTTCTGACCTCTGTAGATATTGTATGACACACGTGCACTTATAGACATGCAGGCAATACACTTATACACATAGAATAATAAATTTAAAAAATTTTTAAAGTGGATTCCTTTTTTTTTCCTAATATAGACTACGTACTGAAATAGATTCCTGATTTTGTCTTTGGTACTGCACATTCCTGTGCTTGAAGAGCCATCCCTAGGGCTGGAGAGAGAAGTCAGAGGTTAAGAGCTCTTGCTGCTCTTGCAGAGCACCTGGGTTTGGTTCCCAGCACCCACATGGTGGCTAACAACTGTCTGTAACTCTAGATGGTGCATATATACACATGTAGGCAAACACTCAAACACATAAAATAATAAGTAAATATGGGCTGGAAAGATGGCTCAATGGTTAGGAGCACTGGCTGCTCTTGCAGAGGACCCAGGTTCAGTTCTTTGCACCCATGTGACCACTAAAAACCATTCATAACTCCAGTTCTAGGGGTCCAGTGCCCTCTTTTGCCTTTTACAAATATTGCATGCGGGGGTGCACTTACTGCAGAAGACCCAGGTTCAGTTTCCAGCACCCACATAGCAGCTAACAACCATTCATAACTCCAGTTCCAGGGGATCTGGTGCCTTTTTCTGACCTCTGTAGACATTGTATGACACACATGCACTTATAGACATGCAGGCAATACATTTATACACATAAAATAATAAATTTAAAAAATTTTTAAAGTGGATTCCTTTCTTTTCCTGATATAGACTACGTACTAAAATAGATTCCTGATTTTGTCTTTGGTATTGCACATTCCTGTGCTTGAAGAGCCATCCCTAGGGCTGGAGAGAGAAGTCAGAGGTTAAGAGCTCTTGCTGCTCTTGCAGAGCACCTGGGTTTGGTTCCCAGCACCCACATGGTGCCTAACAACTGTCTGTAACTCTAGATGGTGCATATATACACATGTAGGCAAACACTCAAACACATAAAATAATAAGTAAATATGGGCTGGAAAGATGGCTCAATGGTTAGGAGCACTGGCTGCTCTTGCAGAGGACCCAGGTTCAGTTCCTTGCACCCATGTGACAGCACTAAAAACTATTCATAACTCCAGTTCTAGGGGGTCCAGTGCCCTCTTTTGCCTTTTACAATTATTGCATGCAGGGGTGCACTTACATGCAGACAAAACACTTTACACAGAAAATTAAAAAAATAATAATTTTTAAAAATCCCTAGTTGGGTATGGTGACCCATACCTTTAATCCTAGCACTCAGAAGGCAGAGACAGAGGCAGGAGGATTTCTCTGAGACTGAGGCCAGCCTGGTCTATATAGCAAGTTCTTTAGATAGGGGCTTGCTTTAGATAGGGTCTTGCTCTCTAACCCATGCTGGCCTTGAATTTGTGATCCTCCAGCCTCAGCCCCCAGAGTGCTGGCATCACAGGTGTGCTTTCTTGCCTGGCTTTGTGTTTCTTCCATTTTCCTTTCTTTCTTGGTGGTGCTCGGGATCGATCTAGGGCCTTGTAAATGCTAGACAAGCACTCTACCACTGGACTGTATCCACATCACTTTATGTTCCTTTTCTTAAAAGCTGTTCTGCATCTTTCCATTCCATTGCAGTGTTGGACACTAATGATAGATTCCTGAGGAAGATCACAATTGGACAGGCTCCAACCGAGAAGGGGCACACACGAACGGTAATTATTTATTCATTCCCCCAAGTGGTTGCTTTGTGGGAACTAGATCCTGCTACTTCTGCCCTCCTCCATCCTCTCCCTTACAACCAATACCTCCAGGTGTTGTTCTGCCTTCTCTCTTTTAAAATGGAAGTGAGTAGGTGTGGCATTGAGCACTCCCGACAGCGTTTGCAATAAACCTCACTTGTCAACTGTGTGGTTTCCCCCAATATTCTTTACCTGGAGGTGGCGAGCCTCAAGCGAATGTCCTTGCATGTAAATTAATGAAAATTGCTTCTCTTGTGGACATTTGGCTATATGTCTCTTCAGTGTAAGAGTGTCTGTGTTGTCTGTGATATGTTAGGAAAATGTAACTGATTCTAAGCAGCCTTTACAAGGATAAAAATCATAGTTTATTGGTCATATTAGAGCATTTTTTGGTTCTATTTTCTCGAAACAGACTCTCATGTAGCCAGGGCTGTCCTCAAACTTATAACCAAGGATGACCTTGAACTTCTGATCTTCCTGCCTCCACCTTTCAAGTGCTGGGATTACAAGCATACACCCCCACCACACCCAGTTTTATGAGGCGCTGGGCATCAAATCTGGGGCTTTGTGCATACCCTACAACATTGATGTTTTAAAGACTGATTATTCAAGATCGCAGAATAATTATAAATTTTGGCTATTGGAGGATTTTTTTTTTGGATGCTTTTATTTCATCCTATTAAGCTATTTGTTTAAGCCAAAAGGGGTATCTTTTGTAATTCATGCTTCTGGTTTAACACAAAGATTCTGCCCTGTGTCTTTCTCTGCCCACAGGCCCAGTTTGATATCTCAGTGGCCAGTGAAATCATGGCTGTCCTGGCCCTCACTAGTTCTCTGGAAGACATGAGAGAGAGACTAGGCAATGGTGGTGGCATCCAGCAAGAAAGGAGAGCCCATCAGTGCTGAAGATCTGGTGAGTGCCAGGCTTGCTGACACAGCAGTGTCCACTGTCCTCAGTCAGGGTCCTTCAGTGAGTTTAGTTGATTTGGCTCATTGTAAAAATTATGAAATTTTTGTTGTTCTTGTTATTGTTGTTGTTGTTTGAGACAGGTTCTCCCTCTAGCCCCAGCTGGCCTAGAACTTGCTATGTAGACCAGACTGGCCTTGAACTCACAGAGATCTACCTGCCTCTGCCTCCCAAGTGCTGGGATTAAAGGTGTGTGCTACCATCCCCGGCAAAATCATGAAATTTGTAAGAAAAAGCTCTTCATGGTGAGTGATAGGTAGCGGTGCAGCATTCCAGGCACTTTGCAGATACCTTCATCCTGCAGGTGTCCCGAGCAAGCTGTGACTGCAGTTTGCATGAAACACCTGGAGTCTAGGTGAGACTTTGGTGCTGAGTTTGGAGTCACCACTTGTCTCTCCCCCTAACACTTGGCTTGGAAGAACTCATTGGTCACTTTGGCTGATGGTCTTCTAGCTGAGTCTCTACCTGTGGGTTATTTCTGACCTGCCTACATGATAAGAGTTTTGAGGTAAGAATTCTTATAGATGGTTTTGTTTCATTTTGTTTGAGACAAGGTCTCAGTCTAGCCCAAGTTTACTAGCCTCAAACCCATAGCAATTCTGCTTTAGCATCCTGAATGCTGGGGCTGTAAGCATGAGCCACCACACCTGCCTTAGATTAAGAAATGTAAAGGCCTGCCTTTCTCAACAAGACACCAAAATAAGTGGTGCTGTGGCAGATGAATTTAGCAATGGAAGAAAATTCTAACTTTGTTTTCACAGTTAATATGTTAAATTTTAACACCCAAACTTTAAATTTAGAAAGTCATTAATATTGAATATAAATGAGAACCACGGCTTTATCTTACTTTGTTTTAATTTGTTCAGTTGTGACTGGATGTCTTAAAAGAGGGACCTGGTATTTAAGAGTTGGAAATGAACTTCTAGCTAGCATTTTAGTTGCAGCTTTGTGCTTTGAATTTGGTTTCTGCCCATTTCCACCAAGATAACAAGTTTATAAATAATTCATTGCTGTGGGAACTAGCATGTGCTCTAAACTGGTCTGAGTGGAGTTCCCACATGAGCCAGCGCAGAGCTAGATTGAGGTACTTGTCACCAGTGCTACATCCTTTTTTGGAGACTGTGTTCCACTTTCATCCTGCTTCGTTTCCCTGCTTAAAATAACTGATGTGGG